CTCTTCCTCAAGTCACCCAGATGGACTAAGACATGAGGATAAGATGCAAGTGAAGGATAAGAAAGAGAAAATCAAAGAAAGACAAATCATCGTTTGGTTAAACTACTCACAACCCACATCCACACTAACAAAACATTGCTTCATTTGAAAGAGCCACAAGCCAAAAAAGTTAGAAAACACAAAGGTATTTCTGTTTCGTTTTTTGTTTTTTTTGTCCACCTGGTTTTTAAGGCTCCAGTTTAGTTTGCCCTTGACCTGTAAGTAGAGGAGGATTAACGGAGAGAGAGATGAAGGTATCACCTCTCTCTACGATATGAAGTGTAATCATATTTACTGTTCTCCCTTTCATCAGATCTTTTGTCTGGAAGCAGGAGCCTTAATGTCCTCTCAGACTAATGCCTGCCCGGCGCCATGTCTTTCTCACTGTTCTCTCAGCCTCCAAGAGTCATCATCATGATTGTCTGTCTGGCCTTCTCTGCATTATCTGCTGGCACTCAGGCTCCTCCAAGGCCTCCAACTGCTCTCTGCTCTCAACTGACTGAGAAAACGACAGGGCAGATGGGAGGATAACAAATCAGGTTGTGACAATCACATTATTAGGTCTCTTTGATGGAGCAAAGTGATTGAAAACAAGCTTGACTGCATATTTTGGAACTATTTAGCTTGTTTCTTAGCTTATCATAATGATGATATTTTACTTTTAATACAACTGTCAGGCAGTACCACAAAGAGACACAAAAAGACCACAAAGATGGAAAATTACCACAAAGTGACCACAAAGAAACACAAAAACAAAGAGACACAAAACAATTGCAAAGATGCAAAATATTTGCAAAGAGATGCAAAGTTCAATATAATAAATTCATGCCAAATAAACATTATGCATTTATTATCAAAGAATATCAGCTCTTTTATTTTAGTCTTGATATTTTTCTTTATGTTATGACTTTAAAACTGTGCTGCTGCTGCTAAGCAGAAAGTGATACACGATACAGCATTTAAGAAGAGCCCATGATGGAGATGTATTAAGTGGAAAATTATAGTAGAAAATTAAAAGGTATTTAAACTATCTAAAGTTTAAATATAATTTCAGAATAATCACATGTAATCTCTTAATTTTTCACAGTAAAAAAAATCAGATAAACCTCGGAAACCCTTTTTGCAAATAAAAATGATTGGGGAGCCAAGTTGAAATGGTTTTAACCTCCATTACATCTCCGGCCATAACTCCATAAAGGAGGTGTGAGGCCAAGGAGGACTGAGGAGGTTTTTTTTGGCAGCTGTTAGCTGAGACCTCTAAGGTTGCTGGGAAATGTTTCATAATTTTATGTACTTCACTGGCTTCTGCAGAGCTGCATTAGTGAAAGTGAATTACAGCCTTCTGTGTGACTTAATAGAGACAGAGGAAGGGAGGGAGAAAGAAAGCCAGAGAGAATAAGAGAGAAGGGTTTCTACTCATTCAACTGCAATAAAATACCACAGCAGGTGGCTTCAGCTTCCTTTGTGGGACTTTTGGCAGGAATTTATCAGATTGTTTTGTTGGCAATCGTGGATTGTAAACTTGAGTGTTTGCAAACTATTGTCCCCATCCGCTGCAGTTAAAATGCCTCTAATCTCTGCCTCAGTCTGCCTCATATGCTGCAGTCTGTCTGTGTGATGTCCCAGAGCTAAAGATCAGACCTTCACTATAATATCCCCAGATAAGACTTGTCAAGTTTATGAATTTGGAAGTTTGTCCCGTTTAATTACGAGTAGTCACCAACTGACAATATATAAAGTTGTATAATTGGTGCAGTTCTTTCAGGTTTTGAGTTGTCCTTGACAGCTGAAGCTCATCACATGTAACATGTTTTCCTGTATTGAACTGTGTGACTGTCACATTTACTTGCCCTAAAAAACAAACTACAAGGGCTGTTCCCAGACCAACTTAAGCTCAAAGTAAAAACATGCAGCCCTTGTATTCAATTTGAATGACAAAAAAAAACAAAGTTCTGCGTGGGCCAGTGTCCACTGTTTCTACTGTTTATCTCATGATCATCACAAAAAAAGCTAAAACAGAACTGTAAAATCCAGTGTGTGAACATTATAAACTGCTGTGCAGATCTGGGGTCTGATCAGCCTTCAAATTGATGGATCTGTTACTCAAACTAGATTTCTGGATCATATTTCATTGTTTCACCAGTACCTGAAGCAACACACTCCCACTGCAGGGCTGACTTCATCAGCTTAGTAATGGGATCCTACATTAACACACAATTTTATTCCAGAGTCAGAACAGTTTTGGTTATTTTACAGTAAATGAGAGGTTTCTTCTTCTATGGGGAGGATATTAGGATTTCACAATATTTGAATAGCAGAATCTCAAGACAGTCACGGGGGTTGATTTGGTTGTTCCTGGCCACTGTCACTCAAATGTAATTAAAAACCTAAACAGTCGTGGTAAAGCGGATTAGCTAGAATAAACTCTTAGAAGATGCTTTTCTCTTATGACTTTGATTGGTGCTCTTTTGACTTGTGATTATTTATTATGTTTAGAGAAACATTAAAGATTTGAAAGAACCAGAACCTTCTGTTATGTTACTTTATTTACTAAATTAATGCCAACTTATGTGTAAGTCCTTATAGGACACATGTTTATAACTGTTTAGTGAAACAGGCCTGGTCTGCAGAGTAATGTATCTGTATTCCTGCCTCTCAAGGAAGAGGAAGTTCCTCAACTTGGCGGTCCAGCACATTTGTCTCAGTGGCTCGATGCTCATTTGATTGTGTGCTCATTCCCACAACTCCAGCGGGTCAAATGACTGGGATGTGTAGCTCACAGCCGCTAAGTGGTCTATCGATCAGTCAGCTGAGCCTGTGGGCTTATGGGATGCGCTGCAGCAGGCAGAGTCAGGACTTGGCAGGCTTGGTAATGGGTACAAAATACGATGCATTCCTCCACAGACGAGAAGCATTGCTTTGGCTAACAGAGACAGGTGTGCAGGACAGACAAAGTAGAAAGTAAAGTGTAGAATATAAATCAAGTTAATGGGAATTCAGTTCCTCACACATTGAATATTTGAATTTTACTGCGGTCAGATGGAAACGTGGTGTCTTCAAAATCCCCCCAAAAAACTGGAAATACCGTGTTTTGATTTTTATCTTGACCACGATGCAGTTTTAAGTTTATCCAGTGTATCCAGTTTTATCAAGATATTAGCGTTAGATATTAGTGTTGACAAGTCTATGTTCCCCCCTCCCTGTGTCTGCTTCACGTGTGTTATCTTACTCACAGACAGATGAGAGTTAAAATCCAGCCCTGCAACTGGCATTGATATTAAGCCACAGATCAGGATGCTACACACGCAACAGACATGTTTACTCTACACATGCAAATATAAACCAACACGCCACATATGCATCTGATTTGTACCCCCTGTATGCCAGTCTCAGTCTGTTCCAGTGACCCAGTGCCCAAGATTAAGGCCTGGCAAAGCCAGATTTAGCCTCCGAGCACACCAAATCCAAGCTTTAAAGAGCCTGTGAGGAGTAGACTCTTGGACTGTAATGCCTCGGCAACGCCGCCAGCCAAGTTTTACCCAAACACCAACATAAAACTTCTGTGGCTTTCAAACACCTCGTCACTCAGGGTGACAAAGTGCTGCACACTGGGCAAGGAGATGGAGTGTTTCTAGGTAGAACACACAGTCAACATCAGCTCCATCTCCAAGAATAATCCCATTAACACTGTGATTCATGTGGCCATGCAGCTAGTCCCAAAGGCCTTCTGCAGCTGTTGAATGCATAATGAAGTGCACCAATACTTAGATATTATTCAGTTTGAATAATACTGGTGTGTATTGCAAAATCAACACAACAAATTAAATCAGAGAACACAAAGTAACTCTCTGTTCCTTTACATGTAATGGTTAAAAAGAACTGTCATCATATCTAGTGACTGCCTGCTTGCCTTTTCTTTTCTCATTTGCTTGGTTTGTTGTGTGTGTTTGTCACACTATCTGTTGTTCTTCTCCTACTACTGTGATAAGGGTTTTACCTGCTTAACATGTATTTGTTGCAACTGCTTGCATTGTACAGTCCCTACTGTGTCACTTGTCTTACTCCTTTTAGCTTTTTATTCTCTGTTCAGCTGCTTCGTGTTTTGCCAACCGTCCTGTTAAGATTTACATGTGCAAATGCTTTACTATTATTTTAAACTAATTTCACATCTGTCCAAGGAACCCCATCTGAAAATGAACCTTTTCTAACACTGGCCCATTTACAGTGATGCTGATTAATGTCACTGCTAGAGAAATAAATGAATATATATTTTAGTTACATTTTGATGGACATATAAACAAACCTGCAAAAAAAGAATGTTTTCCAAAAAAGTCTAAATGATATACAGTATGTCCTCAGAGGAGAACACAAGATGCCCCAATTATAAAAGAAAACCTGCAAAAAAACAAGAACAACAGGTCTGAATACAGAAATAAAAATTTAAAAAAAAGAGGAAAAATAACAAAAACAAAAAACATCACACGCCATAAAGAATGAACAGAAGGCATTCAACTGAAAAAAAAATCTTCAACAGCTTAAATAGTGATCTTTTCCTAATGTAGATCAGATCCTCTGAACCTGTGTCTTTAGTGTCTGCATCTTCAAGCAGCTTTTGGGTCACCACACTAGTCAAGCAGGGCTATATAACACAGTATGAAATTAATCAGTGATGGATCTGAATGTCTTAGTCCTCTCGGATATTTAGATTGGCTTAGAATTACAGACACTTTTAAGTCTTTAGATGACAATAAAAGTCATATGAATTCAGATTACCTCCACATACATTTGTTTAATGACACAAATAAGCTGTAAAACACTGAGAAAGGCACAAGAGTTTGAATTATTGGCTGATAAAGCTGTTTAAGTGCTTATATAAGGTATTCACACTCACCGCATCCATCAATGATCTGACACAAGTCTGTTTTATTTAAAGTAATTTATTTCCATTGCATACACACACTCAAACATTCTCTGCCAAAATTATTTACAAAAACTTTACACACTTATAAAATAGTGCACAGTTTCTGACACACGAGGATAAATATATATATATATATGTTCTTAGAAGAAATGTATACAAGTGATAATTGGCACATCCAGGAGGCAGGCTTTATCACCAGCTTTGCATAATGTTTCCTATTTGTCATCAGACCATAATAACAGGCACATTTTGCAAGTACAGCTTCAAATAATACAGAAAGTACTCAGCTTCAGACAGCTACAATATAAATCCCTTTAAAAAATACCCCGAACCAGGGATCCAGCCCCTTTAGTCATTCAAGATTTATCGTCTTAAAAATAATCATATCCTGAAAAAAAAAAATCTAGTAGCCCCAGAAAGCCCACATTCAATTTACTGTTGATTTCAGAAGAAACTGGTGGTAAACGTAACACACACTTAGTGCAATTAGCAATATAAGAAGCTTCATTTTAAAAGACTGCAAAATGATTTCTTTAAAGCATAAAAAAGTCAAATGTACTTTTGAAAAAAAACAGAAGGACATTTATGTAGATTATATTGAGCAACAGTGACATCTACTGGTTATAATCAGCAAGAACAGACATGATGCACAATCTCACTTTAAAAAAAATGTTCCTGCTCATGAATGAATCTCTTTGGTGGCTGCTTCCCAGTTAAGGAATGTTCTTTGTGATTTGCCGTGAATCCAAGCAAGTTCAAAAAAGTATAAATAACCTGGTCCTGGTTGAGTTTCCAATCAGTGACTTCTTTTTGATCCATCGTTTCTCACTCACTCTCACTGCATGGATTTCACCCCCAGATGGCCAGATGTCAGTTTTTCTTCTCATCCCCTGGTAAGAAGTAGGGGTTCTCATGGCCTTGAACCAGGTAGGAGTAACGGGACGGATTTTTACCTTTGAAGGTCTTCATTGCATCTGGATCGAGATCGTACGATCCGGACTGAAATGTCAGTGAAAGCAGTCAGTGTATTAGTGTCTTTTAGATGTAGGGACTTCACACATTCACACACAAACACTGACAAAAGCCAAGTACGCATCGACAGTAACCACAGTCATCAATGTGCAGTGAAGAACTATTCATGACTATCCCCAAACTAGCATCAGCTGAGTTTCTTTGAACTGTCACTCACTAGATTTAACATGAAGATGAGAGCATGCTGCCTTCCACAACAATCACAGATCTCTCATGAAGCTTCCCAACACCTGTAAATCCCACCAGCGTGATTTTCACAGTGGCCTGTCTAAATCATCAGTATGGAGTATCAAGGCAAATCAGAATCTAAAAAGCAAAGCCGTGCCTTACCTTTTTCCATCCTCTCTGCTTCGGTTGAAACCCCTAAATCAACACACTGGGAGTCAGGCAAAGCCAGGAGCATGGGAGGGAGCTACGTGCTAGCACTACATTTACATTCTGAATGATTGGGTTAAACAGACTGGAATGAATAGGGTTGAAAACATATCATCAAAGCATCTAATCCCTTTCTCCTCTGAAGTGATACAGGATGGTCATGGATTTGTTGATTTGCAGGTCAAAAAACATCTAGTTGTTGAGAGTTAAATCGAAGCTAAATTTGATAGAAAAGCATTAAAAAGTCTGTTTCAGTGTTTGGCAGGTCTGACCTACACATTGAAACATAGTCACTGAAATTACATAGAAATAACAGTTAAACAGAAGCTAAAAAAAACACAACTTTCAACCTAATTTAGCGTGAATTTAACCTCGACCTAGATGTTTATCCCTGCAAATGATCAAATCTGTGCTTACACTGTGGGTTTAACGTTAGTAACCAAGTTCAATCTGGATCAAGATGGTGGGGAAACACTGGGAAAGTTAAGGGCTAATTCTGTGGATAATCAACACTATGCAAGACTGTTAGTCTGAGGATAAGTGGTAAATCAATCAGACGACTGAGACGACAGAAGAACATCTGTGATAACTCACCAATCCGTTGCTTTGATGCTTTTTGTCCACCAAGGTTCGAGTGCTGCCCCCCTCTGTCATCTCCATGGAAGGAGCTGATTCCCAGTTAGTGGTGGCACGAGGGATGGGGGTGATGCCTGTGGGCCAGGGCTGGTTTAAGTCACCTGATGAGTACGGACTGCTGCTGTCGTCTGGCTTGCTCTTTGAGGATCTCCTCCTGAAGTACAGACAACAGAGAGAGGAAAATGAACGTTGTTGGTTTTTTTTGTAGCTCAATAGTTAAAAACTAAAAACTGAGTGACGTGTTCCAAAAAATGCACTATTTACTCATGTTTGGGTAACATTTGCTAAAAACTATAGTGTCCAGCTGTTAAGAAATTACTGAGCCTTTTATAAAATCTAAACTATTTGTCTCCTGTTTTTAAAGATTTACATCTTCAGTGGGAGCAAACAGGCTTGGGGCTGAGTGTCAGAGACAGGGTAGGTCAGTAGTAAAGTACTAAAAGATGGACAAATACATTGTTGGTTTAATATTTTGTGAGACTGAGTTGAAAGTAAGAAAATATTGAATATCACTGGCCTTACTCTTTAACCTCCCACTAAGTATTAATTTGATGATTCGCAGGTGAAAAGATATCTAAGTTAAAACTGGGTTGAATCTGGTTGAAAACTGTGACTTTTTCACATTTAACAGCTGCTTCAACAACATTTCAGTGATTATATTTCACAGGTCTGAGCTACATGTTGAAATAGAAGTATTTAAATGATCCTTTGTGTCTAACCTCTAAATTCAACAAAACCTATCCCAGTTTTACATTTAAAAATAAATAAACTCTAGGGCTGGTGCTGGTAATATTCTCACCAGCAGCAGTATATTAGCAAAGCCAGGATCAGGATGAGAAGAACTCCTCCCAGCACACAGGAGATGACCACCACTGCCAGCAGAGATGCTGCAAAGACATAATTTAAGACGTATAATCAATTTAAGCCACTCAGTTCATACTTGTTACTATTGCTGCCATATAACTTTGCCTTTAAAACAGTTTTGTTACTCACAGTCATTGCAATTGAAGCCACTGTATCCAAATGCACAACTGGAAGAAAAAAAGAGCAGTTAAACACAATGAGAGTCATTTTTCATGGTTGACTTGGAGCATCTTAACAGAGTTTAATTGGGGAAGCCAGTAACTTCCCACACACACAGTAATGTACAGACACCTCACATCTGACATCTAAAACTCACCCTGTGCACCAGATTAAACATGTGTGTACTCACGGTTGGCACGTGTCTCCCACCGACCTCTGCCCACCTGGACAAGCTAGAAACAGAAACACAATAACTGAAACAAACAAACGTCCTGCGCCCGGAGACAGAATTGAGAACATAACAAGCTCGAGTTTCAGACTCAGTCACGGTAGAAAGAGAAGTACTGTATGCCTGATTACACATATAACATGAGCACAATGAGGGCTTCTTCATATGGAGGCTGCATGATGACCTTTTCAAACAAGCACATATTATATTTTTCCTGGGAAAGGAACTATATACATTATAATGTCTGACGCTAAAGGTCTTATTCTTTATTGGCTATTCCTACAGCTGATCTCCTTGGTCACAACCCTCCACACAGAGAGAAAGCTGTGATTCTTCCACTCGTTTCCAGGGAAACAACCCCGTTAAAAAGAAATAAATTTAAGAGATAAATGAAGTAAGGGTCAAGGTCGGCGTGGAGAAAAGGCTACAGCTCTTGACCTTGTCTTGGAGTCTCACTCCCTGTTGTTTCTCCCCCTCATTCTCACACTCAAGTATTTCAGCCAGGATAAGAGGGTTTTGTTACAGTTCTCTTGAATGTAGCTCAGCTGGGAAATTTTCAATCAGGCATGTTCTCAGACGCTGTGGGTCGTCTGTTCTTATAGCAGCAGAGCACAATAAAGAATTTTAAAATGTAAAAGGCATGACATGATTACTAGAGCATTACTCAGACTTTACACTAGTGGTGATAAAGGAGATAAATAAAGAATATTGAACAGTTGATTTTACCTCTGCAGATTTTCTCTGAGTATATGTTGGTGATGTAGCCATCTTTGCAGGAACAAACAGGCTTGCCATCTGTAATTTTGCACACTGCAGTGGAGACATCACAAGGTAACGGCTCCTGCTCACACAGGTTATTACCTATGACAGAGTGCATATAAAAGACATGTATGAGTTAAAACTGTCTTGAAATAACATATTATAACCTGTGGCTCATAAATGTCAGGTTCCCCTCCAAAATCAAGCTACGCTTCCCTTGACTTGGTTAGTGTACTTGCAGCACTTACCTTTAAATGTAGCATTAATCAAAAATCCATTAGAGGCCGCTGAGTTGGCTATAGCATCACCAATGGCTCGATCAACAGACTCTTGAGTGGCGTTGGTGTTTTTAAAGATGTTATTCACAGTTGCTTGTACACTTCCTGGTCTAGAGGATTATAGAGAAGCACCAAAAGAGATAAAAAATCTTCTGTAACCTGTGACATAATGTGTTTGTGCAGCAGAGGAAAGAGAAAGTACTCACTGAAGTTGCACAACATCAGTTTGTATATACCCTGGCTGATTTTTGAGGGCATCTCTGAGCTGTGAAACAGGACAAATGTGGTTTAATGAGTGAGAGAGGGGGCATTTATTTTAACTACTCAACATGCTTTGTGAGCTCAGGACCTACCGCTGATGAGATGTCAGCCGCCGTCCTCTGGAATATCGCCGAGGACCTGTTGCTCATTTCAGGTTGAAATGTCAAGGACGTCAAATGAAGATCACCTGGGAACACTTGGGCTGAGTGAAGCAAATAAGGGTCTTTCAGCAAAGATTTCAATACCACCATCCCATTACGATCTCATCATCTAACCAGACATTAAGTGTTGTTATGTTCTTACCGGTTGTACAGGCACCATTCTGCAGGAAGCTACCAGAGATACACTGACACGTGCCATTGAGACAGATGCTTTCAGATGGGCACGGGACGAAAGGACACACTGATGAGAGATTAAAGTCAAATGATGCATTAAACAACCGACAAACTGTTTTTTTTTTTCCTTACATGAACTGAATTTGTCAAATCTGGCATAGCCATTTTTTTGGCCACCTGGGGGCAGTGGAAACAAGTTGCAAACAACATTGACATATTACTTTTTAAGTTTATATGATGAACTAAATTTATTTACACACTCAGCATACAAAGCAACGTCATCATTCATTTTGAATTGAGTTTCTGGCTACCTGGTGAATGTAAATCCAATATCCACTCTCTTCTCTTTTAGCTGCTATCTGTGTGTGCTATCTGCTATCTGCTTTTTGGAGCTTGTTCATTCAAACATCTGGCCGAAAACAACACGTGAGCCGTGAGAGTGAACCAAAACAGTAAACCTGTGGGCCGGACAGCTAAAGAAGGAGCTAAAGCTTCCTATAAAGCTCCATAAAGCCGAGAAGAGTACAGATTCAGGTGATAATTCTCTGTAGGTGACCTTGTTTTCGCATTGTCATTTGATACATTGTTATTATAAAATATCGGTTATAGCTGCTCTAACTTCCAGTGCAATACATTTCTAAACCATTTTAGCATGAAATACATGAAAACAATCATCTCTAGTAACATGGGTCCATGTTTATGTAGGATTTCATTCAAACCAAATTAAATTCAGCAACTAATTCACCTATTTCAACATGTAGCGCCTAATTTTTTCATGTTACGCTTTTCTGATTTAGTTGATTGATGATAAATCATCTGCAGTATTGTTTAACTGGACTATGATTAAACACTGAAGAGAAAATTACTGACCAGTGACTGGACTCGGGATGGGTGGGGCTGTTGTGGTGGAGTTGTGAGTGGTCATCTCTGTTGGCCTCAGGGTGGTCACAGGGATGGTTCCATTGCCAGTAGCTGGTTCAGTTGAATGAGTCAAAGTGGTGATTTGTGTAGTGTGGCCTGTCACTGTACCAGGAAGAAACATGTAAAGATCAGCTCAAGGACATTTAAACAGACAGAACTGCCAATATGAGTATAGCTTGTAAAATACAGTAAAATATTATGCATAAAGCACAATTAGATGAAAATTACCATTATTCATCTAAATTAAAAAAAAAAAAAAATTGTCAGCTTTATGGTTGTGTAGTAATTAGAGAGCTGGCACTGTCAAATTAAAAAATAACAAATCTCAAACACCTTGTAAGTAAAATCAAGTGCCAGAAAGAGCTGCATTCAGAGGCTATTGCGGTGGAAATTAAACTCCAAAGACAAACCAACAGGTAAATATGGATGCTATGAAAAGTTCTATTAAAACATTTCTTTTCTGATCTTGTGTCTCAGAGCTTTCTTAAAATAAATTAACATGGAGGAGTTTTCAAAACAGCCAACAATGTAGATTTGACAATAAATGTGACATGATGGATTTAACATTTATGACCTCCCACTTGTAAAAAAAAAAAAACTTTTACTCGGATTTCTGTCCCACCTGCATGTTATAGTATAAAATTTTGTAAGAACACACATCAGCACTCATCATGCTGTTAGTCCTACCTCCTGGGGTTGTTGCTGAGGGACTAAGGGTGGTGGTATTTCCAGTGGGGGGTGCGGTGCTACTGCCTGGGAAAGTGTGCGGAGGGACAGAGCTGGAGGTGGAGTTGGAAGCAGGTGAAGAGGATGGGGATCCAGCTGTGGTGTTTGTGCTGATGGTGGAGAACGAGGTTGTGGGAGTGGATGCAGGAGAGGTGTTGGTAGAGTTTGTAGGTGTAGCTGTAGTTAGTACAGCTGTAGAGTTTTCTGGTGTGACAGGATTTGTAGTTGTTGTGTTGTTGCTGGTTTGTGTGTTTGTGGGAGCTGGAGCTGTTGTGCTGTTGCTCGGCTGTGTCATGGCTGTAACAGTAGTTGTGTCGTTGCTGGTATGTGTGATCGGTGTACTAATAGTTGTGTCGTTGTTTGTTTGTGCGATCGGTGTACTAATAGTTGTGTCGTTGTTTGTTTGTGCGATCGGTGTACTAACAGTTGTGTCGTTGTTTGTTTGTGCGATCGGTGTACTAACAGTTGTGTCGTTGTTTGTTTGTGTGATCGGTGTACTTATAGTTGTGTCGTTTGTTTGTGTGATCGGTGTACTAATAGTTGTGTCGTTGTTTGTTTGTGTGATCGGTGTACCAATAGTTGTGTCGTTGTTTGTTTGTGCGATCGGTGTACTAACAGTTGTGTCGTTGTTTGTTTGTGTGACCGGTGTACTAACAGTTGTGTCGTTGTTTGTTTGTGTGATCGGTGTAAATATAGTTGTGTCATTGTTTGTTTGTGTGATCGGTGTAAATATAGTTGCGTCATTGTTTGTTTGTGTGATTGGTGTACTTATAGTTGTGTCGTTGCTAGTGTGTGTGAATGGTGTAAATATAGTTGTGTCATTGTTTGTTTGTGTGATCGGTGTACTTATAGTTGTGTCATTGCTAGTGTGTGTGAATGGTGTAAATATAGTTGTGTCATTGTTTGTTTGTGTGATCGGTGTAAATATAGTTGTGTCATTGTTTGTTTGTGTGATCGGTGTAAATATAGTTGCGTCATTGTTTGTTTGTGTGATTGGTGTACTTATAGTTGTGTCGTTGCTAGTGTGTGTGAATGGTGTAAATATAGTTGTGTCATTGTTTGTTTGTGTGATCGGTGTAAATATAGTTGCGTCATTGTTTGTTTGTGTGATTGGTGTACTTATAGTTGTGTCGTTGCTAGTGTGTGTGAATGGTGTAAATATAGTTGTGTCATTGTTTGTTTGTGTGATCGGTGTAAATATAGTTGTGTCATTGTTTGTTTGTGTGATCGGTGTACTTATAGTTGTGTCATTGCTAGTGTGTGTGAATGGTGTAAATATAGTTGTGTCATTGTTTGTTTGTGTGATCGGTGTAAATATAGTTGTGTCATTGTTTGCTTGTGTGATCGGTGTACTTATGGTTGTGTCGTTGCTAGTGTGTGTGAATGGTGTACTTGTAGTTGATGTGTGATTGCTGGTCTGTGTGTGACCTGGGGCAGGTGTGGTGGTTGCATTTGTAGTCTCACTGTCGTTGGTGGGGTGGCTTGTCTCTGGGTTTATGGTGGACGGTGTTGCAGCAGTGGGTGGAACTGATGGATTTTCGGTTGAGCTGCCAGTGAAGTCAGTTACGGTGCTGTTGACTGTTTCTGTAGTAATCCAGGAGTCGGTGCTTGAATAGGAGAAAGTCGTCTCTTCGTGGGTGATGGATGGTTTTGCAGTTGTATATTCTGTCGTGTCATTTTCTCTAGTTGTAATTGAAGCTGTGAAGTTCTCTGTAGTGAATGGTGATGTAAAACTGGTTGTTGTTGTGTTGCTGCTTGTTGTTACAGTTGTGTAAGAGGTTGCAGGAGTGGTGGATGTCTCATTGATGAAACTATTTGTGGTGGCATTATCTTCTGTCGTTCCTACAGTCAAAAGAAAAGCACAAAAATAATTAGCTTCCATCAACATCAGAGACACATATCTGGTTCTTTCACTGCTAAATGCTCCTCTAGTTACTAACTTTATCCGTCCAGCAGGTAGTGTACAGTGTTTTATCAGAGCTTGTTGCTGCTGGAAATAACACTGTTGAGAGCAGTCAGAGTGAACCGAAACAACAAGCTAAAGGACGCTAAAACACACCCTGTAGAGCTGAGGGATAATTCTCTGAGTCTGTCGCTAGAAGAATCACCTTTCACATACAAGCAGTCATTTGATCCACTGTTCAGTATTGATTATAGCAGCTTGAAGCTGTTTAATGTCCACATTACAGCTTATCAGTTTAATTATGCAATGCAATTAGCAAGCTAAATAATGCATTAACTAGTATATATTTCCATGTCATTATAGTTGTCTTAATATGTTCACATTCACAGCAAATTCGAGGCATGAATATCATATTACATTATAAGTGTTCTCAATGTTTAAAATTCAATTTGATCACATACCTTCTACAGGAAAGTAGAGTGAGTGTGTTGTGTAATATGACATTTCTGAAAATAAACTTAGTTTGTCGACTAAACTGTCCACAAACTTATCCCATTATAATACACATGGCTCTTTACACTTTTCAACAAAATATATCAAGAATATGATATCAAATAAGGTAATGTTGCTGTTAGTTGTTCATTTTCAATATGACAGCTTTTCAAACCTTGGCTTTTTAGTTTTTTTAGAACACTTAATCTTATGAAAATCAACACATTTCATTTGAGCAGTTTGTGTGACTACATTGACATACTGTGAATAAAATTCAATGTGAATTTCAAACTTTGCATCTGGTGTTAGACATTTTCTATAAAAGTGTAAAACGGCTAATGGTTTAGTAGGTACCTTTAAGACAGATTTTAAGACTTTATCACAGAGGGCAACAAGGCTGTGTCTTGAATAAACATTGAAACCTAAGTGCGTAAAAAGTAGAAAAGAACTGTGACTCAGCGGATAAGAGCTACCGTAAGTGACTGCTGTTTACAACACCAAGATGTGTTGGTCACAAGTGCCGTGAACTTAATTTGACCATGTTGAAAGAAAGATTTGCCTCCTATTTGTTCAGTGTGCTGCCGTGACGCCTGTTCCCATTTAGCCTGCTCCCATTTAACCTGCTCCCACTCTCTGCTTTGTGTTTATAGGGGAACAGAGGAAGCCAGAGGGTAGCTTGAGGAGTGCTACAAACAGTGGGAGGTCTTTGATAATGGCTTAGCCTGTTTACCTCAGCTCCTCATCTGTATGCATTGAATGATTACATTCATGGCCCCTTTTCAGCAGGAAGAGAGAGAACATGCTGCTAAGAGCCAGTGGACGCCTTACACAAACTGTTCCCTCCGGTAAGTTATCTCAATAGCACAAGGAAGTGGTGAGAAAACCAAGACTAATATCAGATCCTGAGCATGATTTGATTATTTTCTGTGTGTGACTTAATGTATTTATCACTTAGTAACCAAGACTCATTTAGAGATAAAAAAAACCCCACAGGTTCCACACACCCTGTGACAGCAGACTTTTATGGATACCCACCTTGTATTAAGACAGTGGAACAAGGCATTAAGCAAGCAACGATGATACATGAGGAAATAATGGAAGATGGGAAAACATGTAGTCTCAGATGACGTTTTTAAGTCATAAAGTAAAGGAGTGGCAGAGTTAGGTGTCTATATGTGAAGCAGCATAGCGTGAGATCATTGCTGTAAAATACACATGTATCATTTTGTGACTGGCTCGTCTAGATTAAGATTTAAGGCCAACGGACTAATCTTACTGGATGACCAGAGATCAAGATTAATGAAAAACCTCTTAAATCAGATCTAGTCGACCCTGCCTTTATTAGCCCTGTGTGTTACATTTTCCACTGTAACATTTGGAAGGTCTTGTGTGTTCCCATGAACGACTGAACTGAAGGTTAAGGGTTTCACCATGTACTTAATTCCTTCATACTTTGCATTCAAGTAAAAGAGTTTTATCTGCAGCTAACAAAAAATTTCAAGAATCACATTTCTCAGATTCCTATTGCTGTATTGAAACTGCGCAGCCAGTTTCAGTTTACAATCTATCCTGTACATTAGTCAGAAGTGTGTGACCCAGCCTACTATGGTAGCTAGGTGCCAGTAAGCTAGTGTCTGTGCCTGTGGAAGTCCTTAGCAGTTTAAAAATACAGTTTGTAATACACTCAATCAATCAACATACAAGAGTAGCATTCACTCTAATGGTGTGGACACATAAACTCAGGCAAAGAGCCTTATCAGCTCTGTGTGTGTGTGTGTGTGTGTGTGTGTGTGTGTGTGTGTGTGTGTGTGTGTTGAGAAACCACTTTCCTATCAAAGTCTTTCATCTCCACATAACTGTCTGAATAGAAAGTTTCTCTTTGTCTAGTTTGTGATACACCCAAACTAATCATAATTTTGGACGAGGTCAGTTAAAAGAGGCCATTAGAGAGAAAATAAGTTGTATCTGAGGGATGCTTTTCTACTGAATTAATTTTATTTTCCTCTCAAAACCAATCCTGAAAACAAGTGCTCAAAATTTAATTTTTCCCCCAGTAGTCTTACCTGTACTTTGTGTTTAGTTCTAATTTTAGCAAATGGTAGCATGCTTACACACAAAATCAAGATGTTGACTACTACTAAATTTAGTATAGCTATTCATGCCCCTGTCAAGATGAGCTGTAATCTCTTTGCTGTCTCCTGACTTTTTCTTTAGCATCATCATCAGGTCAAAATGTATTTAAATGGAGATTTAAAGATGTAAATTATTACATTATTCAGTGCTAATTAGCAAATGTTAGTTTGCTAACACACTTAGATAGTCAACATGGTGACCTGCTAAACATCAACATGTTAGCATTATCATTGTGAGCATGTTAGCTTGTTGAGATTAGCATTTATCTTAAATCATCCCTGTGCCTATAGGCTATGGCCTTACAATGCTGCTAGTAGCCTATGGAAGTAGGCTAGTTTTGTTTTAGCCTGCCAGCAACATCTTTCAAACAATAAGCTACTTAGAAAGATGCAGGTACATGATCCAAAGCTCTTGAATTGAATTCATTTCTGAGCATTCAATGTGAAGTAATTAATTTGCTAATCTCAGTTTAATCGTTTTAATCAGGATGTGGGTAAATCAGCCTCACTAACCTTGCTAACTTTGATTGAAGCCCAGGGTTCATAAAGGCCTCATGTTACAAAAAACCCCAGTAAGGTTAGGAAGATATTTGATAACTTAAAGGTGTTACATTGGTTCTTGATGATTAGTTAATGTCAGATTTGATAACCATGACATCGTGATGAGTTTGTTACCACTTTCTGTGTGATATCATTTCTAAAGTTCCCTACATTC